ACTCAGAAACAGCTGAGGTGAATCATTTAATTTTCCATCCTCAGGTGGAACTGAATTTGGGCATTCCTTGGCCTAGAACCCATCATGTCCAGATTTATGCCATTTTTATTTGTGCATAACCCAGAACCAATTTTGTCTTTGCTTCTCAGTTTCTCTCTTTTAGCATCTACTGTTATGTTTCTACGTACACCTTGGCTACTTGACTCCAACTTGACTTCATTCTGCTTCGTCTTATTTTGAAGAACAGCAGATCAGCTCTTGTAAAACAACTTTACGTGGCGATATTACCCCGCCCTGCGATTCCTTGTGGCACTGGTTTTGTGGTTCCGGACCAGCTGGTTTATGAGGCTGAGATTTTGCCAGCCGAGAAACAAGATGCTTTTTTTGGTGGAAATGTACAGAATGATTAGAGTACCAGCACACTGTAGGTGGAAAAGGGGTATCATTTTTAAAAGGCGTGCATTTGCATGGAAAAATCATCAAGGTGTGATGAACTGAGAGTCTCCAGGACACTGCTGGTCACTGGGGCTGCAACATATAGTCAGCAAAGTCAGTTAATCAATGATAATGTAGACAGAAAAAGTCAAATGCACTGGGGACAACAGAAGGCATAAATGGTTCATCAGTCAATTGAATAATAGTTGATATAATAATGCTTTATAGAAATAATCATTGCTGGTAGGCCTGTGCCCGGTGACGGTTAACTTAGTCACCGCAGTAACAGCCCTCAATAATAATGTTAGAAACTAATTTTTACGCTGGTTTAAAAACCTGTCATTCATTTATTGTTTCATTTAATGCAAATCTTAGACACTAGTATTTCCTCACGTGAACATAATTAAACTTTTAAACCTGTTGGGTAAATTGATAGTCCTACATTATACCAGAAATGCTTATTTATTGCACCTGACATTTTAGATGAAATGTGAGATTTTTCTGTAAACATGGCTGTTGAGCTGCTGTGGTTAAACACACTCGGTGCTGCAGGCAGATATGACGCCTGTACAAAAAGCTGCCTCTGTGGTACGGTGTACATTTTGTGTCGTCCTCACACCACAGCATCAGGTTTCACACATCAGACAAAACAACTTCAGGTCTGGGGAGAAACACATGCATAAAATCTTGTTTTAGCTCTCGTACATCAGGCAAAACAGGCTGTTTTAAGTGCCGTCAGGCGAAATGGCTTTAGAGAAGAAGGCATCAGGCCAAGCTAAGCAGCCTTGGATGGTAAAGTTTGTGTACATTTGCAATTCCATTCATTTTTACTAAATTAACTGCAGTTTCGTGTCCAAATTAAAGATGTTTATATACTACAACCACAGCTTTTACTGAACTGCACTTTAGGTTCTTCTATTTCATTTTCTTTTAAGATGAAGCTTCAACTCACGTAGAATTACTGTATTTGCTCCTGTGTAGTACAGACATAGTTTCTAAATTCCTGCCTAAAAAGTGTTGTTGTTGGTATTATTATTATTATTATTATTATGTAATAAATATAAATAAATATCACCCACCTCCCCACATGGGATTTAACCATCAACTGCATTTTTTCCTTATACAGGCCTGCGTGTGTCCCTTCCACCCTAAACGCATGCAAGTGTTTTGTTTGGGGTCTCTTTTGTGAGTCGCGGTGGAAGGAGCTGTGCCAGGCTGCCCTGTGATTGAGTTGTGGCTCATGTCACTGAGCTGCATTAGTGCAGCTGTAGAATAGCACTTCAGGGACAGACCTGAGCTTGTCTCCTCTACTAATGTATGCAGGCAGAGGCTGCTGTCAATTGACCCCCCCCCTCCCCCTCACTTTTTTAATTAAGAAAATTGATTGTCCCGTCCTCTTCAAAAGGCATATTATACTTTATTAAGTAAGTTCTTGAGTAGGCACAATAACAGATGAGGAGCAGTATAATGTACGGGTGGAGGGGGTACCAGAAAGTGAACCGGCGATTTGAATTGACTGGTACAGGAACGCAGTGAATGCCTAGGGGCTATAAAAGTAGATTATTCTGTCTTTTGATGGGGGATTGGAATAGTAATGTCTTATTTCTTCCCCCCGAAGTTTTAATGTAATTGCGTGGCATATCAAGGATTAAAAACTTTTTTTCTCTTTTACATTTCATGCTAAATCACCTTCTCTGGTGAAGCGCCCTGCTTAGGCGAACTTGTACATCGCTGTGCTTCCTTCTGAAATGAAAAGAGAGAGAGAGTGAAGTAATGAGAAAGAGACAGTGCTTCTGCTTCAGGTAATGAACAGTGCTTTAAAAGATTACTCTGTCTGAAATGTGATTAAAGTTGGTATACAAATTTTTGATGGGGTTACGCTGATCCGGAGTTTATTGAAATAAAAATCCTGGCTAGCCGTTCTTTTTTTCCAGGGGGAGATGGAATGAACGTTGTGTTTATGCACAGCATTCTCATCATTGCCAGCCATTTTAGATCAGTCATCATGGCACTAATGTGGGTTTATCTTGCCCTGCAGATAGTGCTTTAATATGATAGTCTGTGGTGATGCTTTGTGTGATGCCACTAATGATGTGCAGTTTTAGAGCTTTATGACAGTTTAGGAATGCAAGCTTACATGAAAAGAAAATAAACCTCTAACTTTCTGTTAGATATCTCCCATAAGTCACTTTTAATAAAAAATATTGTATACCTTTTTTGTGTGGCGTAGGAAACTCTTCTTTGGAGCGATGTCCTAGCAGAACCACTTTTAGTTGCCTAAAAAACCTTTCAGTTGTGTCTTCAAAGAATCATTTGGGTAAATAAGCAAGTGTGAGGAGCCTTTTTAAAGTTTAAAGGCCTCATATCATGGAAAACCATATTTTCTTCAGTTCTTTAAAGAGTTTGATGTAGCATGTAAACGCAGTTTATGTCCTCCCTGGTCGCAGGTAATGTCCTCCCTGGTCTTTACAATCAGTTAAAGGAAACTAGACCGAAAACCTTTTTTGTGATCTCATGAAAATGAGTGCATTTACTTATATCCATCTATTCAGAATACAATGGTTTAGATCTGCCCATTTAGGCTGAAGTTATAAGGAGTGTTTCAGGTTGGACTGCTTTTTGAATGAGGCACAATAGGTGGACAAAGGTCATTTACATAAATCGGTCTTAAAGGCTTATTGAGAAAACCACTTATCTAGTGATAAAGGGTAAAGAGATCTTGGAAAATGGTCATGTAAAAGTGAAGTATGACTGTTTTTGGTAAATAATATTATAAGTTGAAGGACAGGAGAAATGATGGAATTGGGCCCTTTAAAAAATCTCCACATAAAGTAAAGGTTTTATACCAGTTAATGGTTTGTACTAGAGTTGTGTAAATAAGCCTGGAAACATTAATGAAGTGCTCTTTGTGAGTGTCGCTTTTTGTGTGTGTTTGTGTGTGTATTTTTTTTTTGGTGTATCACATCACACAGAGTGAGGACTGTAAAAGAGCGGGTGATGTCATAGTGATGGAAGGGGGTGTGGTGAGATTTGTGAACTGTTGGTTCAGATTAGATTTTCCTAAGGCTTTTATTAACACAGCCCTGGTTAAGGCGTTGTCTCCCTAGCAAACATAAATTGCTTTATTTAATACCCATTTGCTTTACAACCTAAATTAGGAAATTGCTCTCGATTGCTTGCAATAGAAATGAGACTGGCCCCAATTTTGTTAAATGATGAGAAATGGTAACTGCCCAAGATTGGGCAAAACACATGCACACGATCTAACAGCAGCTAACTGCTAAGTAGTGTTTAGTTGTGTCCATACTAAATGTGCAACACAAATCGTTTCAGTGTACTTTATGTTATGGTGAAGCCTATTTAATGTGAGATTTTTTGAGTGGAAGTTAATCTTCATTGTCTGCTCAGAACAAACATGCCTAGATGACCTCATTGAAAGCTGATGGTAATTCCTTTTCATGAGTCAGGTTATAAATTCCATTTTTTTTCCCTGTCTTGACTTTGATTCGGTACACTGGGTGAAATACATGTCCATAAGCCACATCCATCCGTGACATGAATGAACACATTTTATTCATTAAAATATCATCAACAAAGCCCGGCGCCTGCCATAGTCACTGATATTAGGACGGCGGAGCTGTTTATGGATTGAGCTGGAAAGACAGACTGAAAGGCCTGTTGTAAGCAAATTGCTTCTTTTGAGAATGGTTTTGGGAATCGAAGAACAATCGAGAAGCTTTTATAGAGTCTATTGTGCGAGGAAAACAGGCGCCATTGACTCTGAAAACTGGTTGAATATGTGAGCAGATGAAGCCACACGCTGGCTGTTTTTGCTTTAGCCCTAAAACGTCACTAACTGAGTGCTCAACTCTCAAAGAATCTTTATTGACATGACAGTATTAAGTTACAGTGTTGCCAAAGCATCTAAAAGTGTTTGTCAGTCTGTTATTGAGTCAATACACAGGGAACAGTGCACTTAATCTTGCAGATAAAAATGATATTTGTTTTTAAATATTTAACTTGGCTATAGATATTAACTGTGCGCATAATATTGCAATCTGATGTTGTTACTGCTGCTGTATTATTGATGTACTGATCCACTTTCCCTGAAGCTTTGCCATTATTGTATATATGTGACAGCCAAAGGAGAATTATGCCTTTCTCCAGACAGTTTTTTCAGTTTTTACTTGTTGGAGTTTACTGAATGCAATGATTAAGAAAGTAATGATGGTACAATGGTATAACCTGAACAATAAACTGTTGTAATGCTGCTAAGAATTTCACATTTATTTAAAATTACAGTTAATGTTAATAATATTTTTGGTGCTATAAATAATTATGAGAAGTTAATTTTCCAGTATAATATCTGTGGTGAAATGATGTCAGTGTGTATTGCAACTTTTTAAACATTTTCGGTGTATTTTGACAGTGTCATGACATTCTAAAAACTATAATGATTTTGGTCACTGATATTATGGTAGGAAAGTTTCATCCCATCCCTAGCAGACATTTCTTTTTTGAACTTAACAAAGCATTTTTGCTCTCTCTCTGTTACTACCTTTCAGATATGGTGAGGAAAAAGAATCCCCCTTTGAGAAGCTTTGGTGGTGAGCAAGAGGAGGGTGAGGTGGTGGCAGCGGAGGCCACGGGTTCAGAGAGTGGTGAGGTGGGCAGCGAGGCCTCGGAACCAGACAGACCGATGGCAGAAGAGCAGGGGGAGCCAGGTTCCCCTGGCCCAATCAATGCAGATAAACCTGGCTTTCATTACGCCGGGCCGGCAGACGCTGTGGCGCTGAACCCGGCCACTTCCCCTCAACAGTCTGACCCAGGAGAGGCGGGGGACCCGGCGCGGAGTCCAGCTGGCGAGGGTGAAGTCACCAAGGCTGGGGTGGAGGGCCAGCGGCCCGGCTGCATCATTGTTCAGGGCTGCACCACCAGCAATGGGGACGAAAGGGACCCCACCCATAGCCCTTTGGTGCTGCTGGGTTCTGACGTCCTCCATGGAGACGGAGTAGACCACTCCAAACTTCCCCCAGTCCCGCTCCACCCACGGAGGCCTAGCGATGGACCTGAGGAAGCGTCTAGCCCGCTGGGAGCCGAAACTGGAGCCCCTCCAGCCTCCTCCCCCAAGCTACAGGACTTTAAGTGCAACATCTGTGGCTACGGCTACTACGGCAATGACCCCACTGACCTGATCAAACACTTCCGCAAGTACCACCTGGGCCTGCACAACCGGACGCGTCAGGACGCCGAGCTGGACAGCAAGATCTTGGCCCTGCACAACATGGTGCAGTTCATGGGCCAGACCCAGACCCAGGCCAAAGACGGCTCCAGAGCTGCTGCCCTCAATGCTGGGGGTGGAGCTGGAGTTGAGGCAGGCTCGCCTAGAGCCTCACTGCTCAACGGCACCTACGACGTTCAGGTAATCACCACTAAACGGCATGTATGCTCATCTACCACAGGCCAAAACTTTATTTTCTACACGTGCAACATTGCTGTCAATTAGCATGGACAGTAATTTTGATGCGTGACCCACTGCACTGAAACATATTTACATTGATAGAAGAAAGTGGTCAGTTGCTAACAACGACAATACAAACATGATCTAGTTCAACCAAAGAAGTTTAGTCATTAAATTACATTGGCTTTCACTGATGTACATTCTTTCTTTATAACCGTCCCTTATACTGACCAATTTTTAATATTTATATAGTTTATTAATATAAACTTCTCACTTAACCCTTCAGATGCAGTTAATGATGTCTTCAGGAGCATCTTAATATGGGAATCCTGTTTTTAGGATTAAGGCTGCAGTAAAACTCCTTAGGACAGTCATCAGGATAAAAAATAAAGAATGAATCACTTTATTGCAGCAGACATTTAGTCAAACCCTTTTATAGTATGTTAATAAACATATAATTGCTGTTATATCAAAATGTTTTAACTCAGTTTTTTTATTTTTGTTTTAATTTTTTACACCATTCAAAAAATGCCAGCTGCTCTTTACATCGCCTGAAAATTCCATGAGTGGCAGTAAAATAAAATCATGTTACAAAAATCAAACATATAAAATCTTGCTACAGTAATGTGCAATAAAGCTAAGATTTTTTCCCTTTTCCTGTAAAAGTTACCATTATGTAGTTTTGTGTCATAGAGATCACTGTATTTTTTATCTCTTAAAAAATATAATTTTCCGTTTTTTTGTGTCACTTTCAGCGTATATTGTATATGCATAACTACTTAGGCATGATGGGCCCGAACTGTGGTAAAAGAGAAGCTCCCCACCATGAAAGGAAATGACGTGATGCTTACCAGTCTGACCACATTACATGTGAACAGGAAAATATATACGCTGCTTTAGTCAATTTGTGAACTCTACCCCTTTTTCTTTTACTCGTGAGAAAGGCACAAATAGCTCATTTTGCTTTCCCGTTTAAAGAGCTTTTACTTGATTTAAGTGCTGTCTTTGTCTTATCCCCTCTAAACACTTTACTACCATTAACTGCATGTCCAGTACTAGTTATAAGTTTGTACACACCTGATTATAGAAGGACTCCACATTTTAGAATAATTTTACAATGACAAAAAAAAGGGTTAAGCATATTTTAGATTCTTCAGAATAGCTGCCCTTTGTTTTAGTACAGCTTTACTCACTCTTGGCATTCTCTCAAGCACTTTCATGAGACGCTTTTCCAACAGGCTGGAAGTTCTGCATATGCTGAGACTTTGCTGGCTGATGAAAAGTAAAGTGGGGGATTCAAAAATATTTAGACTAATTGTTTTAAAGGTGAACTTCCCAGGCAACAACTCTCATTTGTCATAAAAACAATTTCAGGCATTTAAGAACTTTCGCTCAAAATTTGTTTAAAATTAAAGAAAACATGCATTTCATCAGCAGTGTCCGAACTTTTGACTGGACATTTCTTTATATGACTGGACATTTCTTTATATGATTGGACGTTTTCTTTATATATAGGTATTTATATTCTCATCTAGCAAAGTGAAAGTAATTGCACAGTAACTTACTTATCACAATAAGAAATATGAATGAGGGTGATTTTAAGAAGCTGTTTTGAACTGCTGCCAAAGCATTTGTTCACCTTTATACATACTTTAACAAGCAGGTTAAATACGCTGACAAACTATGTATTATGCAAAAAACTCCTTAAGCTTTTTTTTTTCCTACTACTGTGCCCTCAATCTTTTTCAATTCAACATCCAGAACCACAAATTGTCATTATACTGTATAAACCTTAAAAAAAGAGGAATAATGAATCTTTATTCAGTATTCATTCCTAGTGGAATTTTCCATGCAGTAATATCGAAGACTGCGATTTCTCATTTAGCCAATGAAAAGAGGGGAAAGGAGCATGGGGGCGTCGGGCGAAGGGAGCCAGTAAAAACAGGGGAGTCGATTTATTTTAAATGATGGGTAATGAACAGATGTCATAGCTATTTATCTGCCCAGCTTTCACTGTGGTTTCACTCTCGGCTTCAACAATGTCGTGTTTACAATTCAGCTGGCGTATTTAACTCCAGTGTTCCTTCAGAATGAGCTGCTTTTGGAGGCGTTTGGCTTTTGCCATGCTGGGCCCATTTGGCAGCGGCTCGGACCAACAGGCCATAATGGCTTTAATGTTGTTCTCCTCCTGAAGGCAGCAAAACTTTGCCCACATGTTTTTTTTTTTTCAGCGAGTTTATTAGGGCTTCAAAATAATTTGAATTCATTTGTTTATATATTGTGGAGATTTTTTTGCTGTCTTGTGTGATGATATTTTAAATTCTTACACACATTATTTCTCTGAAATAGTTTTTGCTTTTTGCCTTTTTTCCTCCCAAACATTCAGAGATAACTGTGCCGTTCATGTCCTCAAGGAATGTTGTACATCTGAGAAAGCTAGAAGTCATGTAAATGTAAATGCCCTGAAGCTTATGCAAACAAGACAAAAAGAGTGGAAAGCCTAGATTTTCTTGAATTCTGAGAAGTCGCTATTTGGAGACGAGAGATTTTCTCTGGGAAACAGCGACAGTGTCTGAACTGCTGGACATTTGTATAACTTATGTTGCTTCACATCTGAGATATGCTGAAAAACTCTCAGTAATGCCAAAAATCTTAACAAACCTGTCTGTTATCAAGTTCAAAGACAGCACTATATTTAGCTCTAGTTCTAGAAAAAAAGTGAGTCTGTTTTATCTTAATTAAACCTTAGCAAATGAATAACTGCAATGCATTTGGTAGTGGACTCTGTCCAGACATCAGATTAGTTCTCTTAATGTGGATGTTTGGAATTAAGTCCAAGTCTGTAGCAAAGTACAAGTGGGGGTGATTTGTTTAATCAGCTACTGAGCATATAGCTGTAGGGCAGCTGGTGGGGGAGAAATACCAGGAGTGTTTTGTCTAGATCCTGACAGTGGATTTTCTCGGTGCGTATGAGGATGAAGGGCTCTCACTTTGGGCTTCATCAGTCTGTCACTGCTAGCAGAATGTTCTGTATATGCATTGCATGCATTTGTAATGCACAGCAGGAGCAGGAGAAGTTGTCTGTATGAGTTAGGTGTAAGTGCCTTATAAAAATGAGGTTGTATAAAGCGTATGTTTTGAAAAAAATTATTAGTCGTGTTTGTTATTGTTTGTCAGTTATCGGACGTCCAGTTTTTATTTTATTTATTGAGGTCCAGTTACTAAATTAGTATACTAAATGATAAAGTTATGTCATCACATGAACAATTGCGCAAGTTATTGACAGTGTTTTGTCATTAATTCTACCTTTGAGGTGAGAACATTTTCTTTATTCTTCTTTTTTCAGCTAAACAGCGGGGCTAAAAGATTAATCATTTTTATGTTAAATTTTCAATTTCCAAGTGTAATTTAAATCAATATAGTAATGATTTAAGTCATAAGTTATCACAAGTTATTTTTCTCTTTTCAGCTAAACAGTAGGGCTGAAAAATGTATCATTTTTATATTAAAATTGCAATTTTCCAATGTAATTTCTCAAATTGCAAGAGCTGTAATTTTATTCATATTTTATTTTATACATTATTCAACATTGCCGTCATTTTCAGTGAGAAGACTGAACCTAAAACAGAACTTGCAGTCTGGCACACTGCATTTAGTGTTCAAATCTGGAACAATTGATGTGCTGATCATTTTGGCAAAAAAGAGCTCAATTTCTAGCTTAATTTCATCATGAGTTTGGCTAACCTCTTTTTCATTGCAATTAAGAAATCAGCAGTTAGCTTTAGAGTGTACCCATATGTGAAAGCATTATCTTGTGATGATCATTTCAGCACTCCTCATTTTATTCATCCCATTTTCAGCGGCTGCGTATAATACAACTGAACACTGCCATTTTGCCTTTTCATGCACTGTTGCTTTATTCCTAAGCTGTGTTCTGCAGACTTCCCATTTCTCCAGCCTGCTCGCTGAATGCTTTCCAAAGTCTCGCCACTGAAAAGTAATAAAAACATTAAAAGAAGCGTGATTTGCCTTTGTGTGGAGATAACCGCCATCTTCCGCCGCCGGATTTGGAACGTTATTGAAAACTATCCATCTGTTGTCTGTCACATAATGTCAGAGCCATCATATTTCCCCTTATTTCTCTGCACTTCTAAACTCATGGATCATTTATTCTCCATTTCTGTCTCATTTTCTCTCTTTCTTCTACCCTTCTCCTCCTCCTCCTCCTCCTTTTTCTGCTGCCCCCATCTTCTCTCAGGTGACGTTAGCGGGCACCTTCATAGGCATCGGCCGGAAGACACCGGACTGCCAGGGCAACACCAAGTACTTCCGCTGCAAGTTCTGCAACTTCACCTACATGGGCAGCTCCTCGGTGGAGCTGGAGCAGCATTTCCTGGCTGCCCACCCAAACAAGATGAAAAACCCACCCCCTGCCTCAGCCAGCCCTGAAGAAAAGGTCTCGGAGCGGAAGGGAAACTGCTTGTCCTGGCAGGGGTCAGAGAATCAGGGGACCTGGGCTGACCGGGTGGCGGTCAGGGCAGAGGACGACTCTGTGGCAGGTTACTCTGTACCCAACCGGCCTCCGGACTCCCAGGGCCGTCCTGCCGGCGATGTCTCAGTAGCTTATTATTGGTGCAAGTACTGCAGCTTCAGCTGTGAGGCCTCCGGCTCTTCCAGGCTGTTGGAGCACTATGAGAAGAGGCATGGCCAGGCAGCCGTACGGGAGGGAAGCCCTGGGGAGAGGGAGTGCAAGTCACAAGATAGAGCAGACCCCCATGTCAGGAGGAAGGAGCATCAGCGTGGGAAGGGCGACCCGGACAGCATGGTCACCAGCTACAGCTGCCAGGTTGAAATTTTTATATATATATATATCTGTATGCGTGCACAGAACATGGGCTGATAAATGCCTCACATCAGTACTAAATCTCAAGCTACATTCACATCATGCGATCTCTCTAACATGATGGTTCACACTTTTTTATGTAAGTGTGACTCAAATCTGTCATTAATGTGAACGAACCTGCATCCTGAAATGACCCATATGCACACATCCTAATCAGTAACGTCACATGAATGGATCACGTGAGTCATGAACAGCAAACCAGTTAACAGAACGAGCCTTTGCTGTGAAGATAATTACCTCTGAACAGCTCTTAACTGTTCATTATTAGAGTAAGACGAAGGTGAAAAGGATGAAAAGTGTTGCTTTTCCACCGTTTACAAGCTTTAACTTCTGTTTGGCGCTGCTGCCATGGTAACACATGTGCAGTGGAAAAAAAGCATATGAATTCCAAACTGAGCATTCACATTAAGGTCATATGGCCAAGAATCGGACACGTATACGATCTAGGACCACATATGAAAGTGACTCAGGTCGGATTTGAAAAGATGAGATTTGTGTGTCCACACAGCTCTGAAAACATCAGATCTGAGTCATATTAGAGCAAAAAATTGGATTTGTGCCACTTCAACCTGGTAAAGTGAACATAACCTCAGTCAGGCCTTAATTTTCAACTAATAAATACAGTTTCAGTCAAAGTCTTAGACTCATCTGCTTGTACATGTGTCTAAAATTTTGACTGGAACTTTTGGGAGGCCTTTCTTTTTTTTTTACTATTTTCCACGTTTTAGAATAATAGTGATGACATTAAAACAGTATAGTAACATGTCAATTCAATTGTGATTCTTTCAGAAACAATTCAATAAATTGTAATAATACATTTACATTTCAGCGTGATTTGATTAGATTATTTCAGTATGATAGAAAATTATTATTTATAGGAAAACTGTATTGGAAAGGCCTTTTCTATTTATTTATTTATTTGTTTGTTTAAAGTTGGCCATAGAATTTTAGTTTGCATACTTTGTTGAATACGTTTACCATAGATAATATGTAATACAATTGTATATTAATACATATAATTGATTGTATCATTCCAGAATCAATGCCGTTTAATTGACATCATCAAATCAATTAATCACAATACATTCATGTGTTTTAACCACCGCTGTTCTTCAAATACACACCCTTTTCCTTAATGACAACTTTACATGCTCTTGACATTCTCTCACCCAGGGTGGGAAGGGTGAGCCGGACACAGTGGTCACCAGCTACAACTGCCAGTTCTGTGACTTCCGCTATTCCATGAATCACGGGCCGGATGTGATTGTTGTGGCGCCGCTCCTGCGCCACTACCAGCGTGCTCACAGCATCCACAAATGCACCATCAAACACTGCCCCTTCTGCCCCCGCGGCCTCTGCAGCCCAGAAAAGCACCTGGGCGATATCTCCTACCCCTTCGCCTGCCGCAAGAGTTCATGCTCACACTGTGCTCTGCTCCTGCTGCAGCTGACCGCCGCCGGAGGCAGCAGCACCCCCCCACCTACCACGAGGGCCTCAGTGACCCACCTGTGCGACCAGTGTCCCTTTGCCACGACCGACATAGACCTTCTGCTGCTGCACTACGACAGTGCCCATGCCCCCCACACCCTGCTGGATGTGAAGGCTGAGGAGGAGACGACGGGTGAGGGGCGAGGCCAACAGGGGGAGTACGCCTGCACCAAGTGCCACTTCTACACCGAGGTGGAGGAGGAGATTTTTCGTCACTACAGGTAACGTCATGGCGATAATTTGGTTACATTTGAGTCTTTAAATGAGCTGTTATTTAAATAAATGAGTCTGAAAAAATATATATTGTTTACCCCTTAGTCCAAATATGTGAACTAAGCTGCAAAAATCATACTCACTGACCATTTAGCCGACAGCGGTTTAGTCCACCCATTCCTGTTGAAGTGACTGCAGACAGTCTGTAGCAAAGTTATTGGAAAGGAAGGTGTTGGTGGGGAAAACCACTTGAAAGTGCTAAGTGAGTGATGCTAAGTATTACTGCACAGCCAGATATCTGAAAGGAGTGGCTGAAGTTATTTACACACCTAAGGATTTCAGACCAAACCTAAAAGTAAATTAACAAAAACAGCTTGTTTAATTCTAAGGGATGAAGAGGGGTTGGAGAGAGGCCATTTTAAAAGTTATTAGATTGGTACCAGTGCCCATTTGGAGGCTGTTTATCTAGGAAGTTGAGGCTTGTGAAATTACAGTAAAATTGTAATGAAATCACCCATTTATTTAATTTCCAGTCAAAACCGTTGTGTTATTCAGGTTATTTTTCACCATCAGGAAAAAGGGGCTTTTTGACAAACGGCATCTTGACAGCTACACATCCTTTTAGACCCATAGCATTGAGTCTTCTCAAAGTGGAGGGATGGACAGAAACGTGGGTTTTTTCAGATCTGAAGTAAGAGTGGAGCTTGATTTTTTCCCTCTTTCTTATGTGTCAAAGAAGACAGCTTTTAATAGTTTTTTACAGTTCAGTTTTGGAAACTCCTGTTTTTCTCGCCTGTTTTCTTTTTACCTACCCCTTCCATATGCAAGTGCATTATCTTATATCTAATAGCTAAACTTTTGACCAGAATTTAAATAAATGAAGGGTGATCTAACTGCACAGTGCTGTGTAATTAGATGATGCATTACCTGATTAGCTCGTGTGTTGTGATGCAGCAGTACTGCTTTCCCATAAATAGACAGCAGGTTTTCCCTGCTGTTGCATCAAGCCTTATATTAAGAAACACAGTGGAGTAAATACACAGCGTTAAACACCAGGTAATCCTATCACTCTGCTTTAATATGTTCCCTTCCTTGGTTCTGATTTAGCTTGCCTTTGAGCCAAATGTGTACGTGTGTGAGTGTGTGTGTTTTCCGTATGCAAACACTTAAGCCGTTATATAGAAATCCTCTTCATCATACTAGCTGTGTGGTGAATGCTGCCGCCGAGGACGGGCATTGCAGTGCATTACTTCAACATAAGATCTCAATTATTGGGTATTTTCTGCCATACTTCACAGGCATGTGGTGGTTTGATTTATTGATAGAAATGAGCTAAGTGCACCAGTGCTGTGCATGAGTTTGGCTCAGAAGCGGCAGGAAGAGAAATGCACTTTGCTAAATCAAATATACATGTTGCATAAACACAGCAAACCACCTCAGTGCCCTGTGCGTTTGATAGTAAAACACACGGCTTGCACAACATTTTTTTTGTTTACTCACCCTGACATCTTGGTTTATTTATCGCACAATAAATTATTTACCTCCCAACAAATTCCTACATGCAATACATACGTTTTTAATATACACACATTTAAACATTGATGTCTATATATATATATATATATATATATATATATATATATATATATATATATATATATATGTATATATATATATATATATATACATACACAATGTAATACATAGACAATGTAACGGAGCGGCAAATTTCATCATAACCAGGGCTGTCACAGTCATGTGATTTTAGCTGACAATTAATTGTTATTTAAATAATTACGATTAATGATTGAATTGTCTTTTCTTGTTCATTGTTTACAACTATTAAAATACAAGCCTGAAGTAGGCAGACTGGCTATAAAGCCACCTTACTTGCTTGCTAGTTTACTCTAGTAGCTAATACTGGTTGTACTGTTGAGTCAGTACTGCTGCATCCTCACACAAATGTCTACAGTTACACAGAATTATGTGTAGTGTTAAGCAAAGCTACGTGTTCCTTAAAAGAGTGAACATCTAAACAAAACATTTCATCATGTCAGCATACATGCTAAAACCATTCAAATTAGCTACATGGCTAACAAATAAAAATTAATACAAATAATATTAGTACACCAAGTTAGAATTTATAAGTTTTTGTTTTCACAAGTCCCACAATGTCTCAGTGAAAGCATTCACTGCTTTCTTTTATTCAGATGTATTTGCCTCAACCCACTGCACCCAGTTCAGCATATTATGACTGTGAAATCTAACGACTGTTGAAAATAATTGCATTCAGCTTAAACAGCTGTGAGTATCTCAAATAATTGCAATATATAAATATATATATATGTGTGTGTGTATATATACACACACACATATGGTATGCTTTGAAACACCTCCAACATATTTGACTCTGTTGAAAGGGCAGATTCGAAACTATTAACTTATAATACATTTGTGTTCATTACTAAAGGAGGATTTTTTATTATGATTTGAATTTTATTAAAGTTTTCACTTTCTGTAGCAAATCCAATATGAAAAGACAATACGTTTCCAAAACTGTAATTAAAAATTCTTAAAATACGCGGAGAAAATGAGACTCCTAACGACTATGCGAAACCTTATTCGACAACCAAAACAAAATCTTTGAGAGAGAGGAGAAAAAAGCACTTAGAACATCTGACAAAATCCACAGATGTTGCTGTCCGTCTTTCCACTGTGAGGAAACAACTCAACACTGTGGGTCTGAAAGGATGTGTAGCAGTCAAGAGGCTGCTACTGAGAAAAGGAAATAGACACAAAAGAGGAAAATTTGCAATTCAAACACAGAAGCTGCTGGTATTCTCAGAAAAATGGACTGATCATTCCAGAGCACAGACCTCAGCATAACTGAATGTATTGAATAAGCATTTATAAACATTTATGTGGGGTTGTGTTAGTGGTCATGACAAATTTATGTAGGTGTCATGTAGCCTTATGAACAGTACCCTAGAGTAAAGTGTTACCAGTTTCCTTCAGTATGGTATCAGTAAAGAAACAACAACCGTTATGTGAATTATAGCAGATTATAGCCAGGTTATACACACTAGTGCCAGATTATGTGTGTGTAGCTCAGGGCTGGTTGTTTCAGGTGGCTGCAGAAGCAGGCTGTGCTGAGTGGAGTGGCTCTGTTTGCTGGTGGTGCATGCAGCGCGCTGAATAAGGCCCTGTTTGTATTCGGAGCCTGTAGCCCAGCGAGGAGAGAGCAGAAATGCGACCTGCGCGGCCTCCCTGGAGGCTCCGCCCTTTTCACCTCACACTATACAGCGTCTGAGCGTGGTCATGTATGCACAGTCCCATGGGCTTTTTCCTTTGTTTTTGCTTTAGCCTCAATTATGTGCGTATAATGTACATAGTGTGTGCGAGTGACTGTGTCAAAGCTTGTGCGTGTGCATGTGAATGCTTAAGTGCTTGTCACTGCCGCATCTCTGTATGAAAAAAGCCGCCCAGCAAGGACAAATAACCATACTGCAATCATATTGATGCATATTGCAGTTGCTTTGGCTTTTTCAAAGAATCTGCATAGATGTTTTTCCACACCTTCAAAGTTCAGTCTTAGAAATTGGATGCATTTTCTTCTTCTGACGATCCAAATTAATAAATTGTAATCATTTTTTTTTATCTCTAATTTCAGAAAATCCTGTTTTTTCACTTGTTTACTTTGACATTTCTCTTCCCTATGCAACTGGATATGCAGTCTCCTCAGAAATATCTCCTGAAATATTAAAAAAAGGTTATTTCTCTAGAAATTAAGTGAAGGGTGGTCTCGGACTTTTGCACTGTACTCTATAAATCCAGTCTTGCAAACATTCTGCAGCCCTACAATGTTTTTTTTAGTATATTACAGTTCAATGTGTGCATTTGACTGGCAGGATTAGTGTATAGTCATGTATGTTACTTTGTCGTGATGTTTACGTTCATGCTTTATGTGAAATGTCCAGGTGCAAATCCATGAATCTCTAAAGCAGAATATTTCCTTTATGCGTATTCATGTGCGTGGTGAGCATGTTCCTCTGCATGCTGCAGGTTTAGTGGAGATTTATGAGTGGAGAACTGACCCCTGCTCTCCATCCAGCCAGCCACCCACCACGAACGTGAACCTGATACTGATGCTGCAGCCTCCTCCAGCCCGCACCCACCCGACCCGCAGCATGCCCAATATATCATACGCTGTAATAGAGAAAAAGATTTAAACTAGACTTTGGGATTTTAACCGTTTTTACTGTTTGAATATGCACATTTTTGTACAAATTGAATTTGAATCTCAGTGAGAAGATCTTTTACATTATTAAGAAAAAACAAAAACACAATGTTTATCATTATCATTTATTGTGTGCAGCTATTATAGGTGACCTTTATGGGCATAAAATTCGATAAAGCTGTTGGATATCACAACAATGATATGAGAAGTGCTAAATTATGAATGAAGAAGACTGCCTGTGACTGGATGTGCCGTTAAGTAGAGTTTTTTTATGTGGCTGTGTACATAGAAATGTGACTAAACTCTCCTTTAGGCAAATCGCTGAAAATTCAAAATTACAAGGGCACCATTCACCATTATGCAAAATAAGAACAATGAAATACTAATAGCCATTTAACTCAGAAGCAAGCACATTTTTGTACACTGAAAGGCTAAGAAATGGTCAGCATTTGCTGAACAGCTTTTTATATAAACCCACAAAATTTATAAATATATGTTTCATTCCTTAAAAAGCTCCTTATAGTGATGTAGGTTAGTTATGACAACCATTATTGTTTCACACATTTTAAACACATCTCTGAAATTGAGAATAGTCATCACATTTAAAGTAATTTTACAGGCTAGTAGCTCAGGATGAGTATTTTTTGAGCTGTGCATATGCGGGTTTTGTAAATGGCCGTTTTGCAGAATGGAGATCAGCGTTCAAGTCCAGCGCAGGGAAGCACTTGTTGGGCTTCTTACACTCCCGCCTATCCAATTACGTTGCTCTAG